CTCAAGGACTGGCCAGTCCTTGGCCTCCAGCTTTAATAGCCACGTATCTTTGCATCAGTATAACTGCCCATCTGACCTTTGATCTCTGTGAAGCCGGCTCCTCCCCCGTGGGATTTCCCTGTTGGCCCATTTCCTCCTGTGACCCCTGAGCCATGACCCCGGGCATGGGTGCAGCCGCCCCAGAACAGGGTGGGGGCAGAAGCCGGAGAGGAGGACAGGTGACGTGGAGGAGGTGATGGAGGTCACGCCAGGATGTCATCTGGAGGGAACGTCTGCGGCTTCCATGTTGTCACGAAGCAAACAGAAGTGAGTTTTCTGTTTCACAATCCAGGCAGTTAGTTTCGTGGGCCTTTGACAGTTCCTTCACGTCCTGACAGTGACGAGCTTTCCCCCCAGGAAGTTAGAAGGATGGCCGCCCCCCACGGCCAGCTCGCCTGGTGACGTTACGCGGCACACCCCCTGGGGACACTCTGCAGTCACTTTTCCTGCGTGAGCCGAGGCCACTGAGCCACGTCCCTGCCACCTCCTCTTCCTGCCTCCCAGGACCCCGACCCCTGGGCCCTCTGCTTACAGAGGGCTCCTCACTCAGCCTCTCCTGGGCAATCTTTCCAGTTTTCAGTGAACGTTTTCTGCTCACAACAGCCCTTCCTGGGGCCCGGGAGGGGTGCAGGTGGGCGTCACCCTCTTGCTATGGTTTGAAGCACAGCCCACACACTCCTGGTTTGCCAGTGGGACCCTGAGACTATCCTCTGGTTTGGGGCCTCCTTAGTGCAGCTAATGTTTACTTCCTTCTCCTCTCCTGCCTCCCCCTGCCCCGCCTGCCCCCTGCCTCCCCCCTGACCCCGCCCCACCTGCCCCCTGCCTCCCCTTGCCTTCCCTCCCCTTCCAACTCCTCCTCCCGCCCCACCACTGCTGGTGACAGTCCCTCTGACAAAGCTGCGATCAGCCCCACGGGGAGGGAGCTGTGATGGGGGCCGGGCTCCTGTCTGACCCTGTCCTGTCCCTCACCTGCTCCTGCTGCACGGCCCTCTCCTGTTTACAGAGCAGAACCAGTCAGAGTTTGGAGGCAGACAGAGCCCTTCTAATAGTTACAGACCTTCGCTGTGAAGCCTCAGCAAGGCTCACAAGCCACTGCTCCAAGCCTCTGCTTCCTTACCCGGGGAGCAAGGACACTCATGCCCACCTACACAGCTGCGGTGAGGGTTAAATGAGGAGAAGATGCCAAGGGGTGGTTTCCAATCCGTCATCATCACAGCTCACGTTCACGACACGCTGAGCACACGCAGGGCATGCGGAACACAGATGAGCTCATCCAGCCTGCACCGCAAAATCCCACAAGGCGCTCATCCTGCAGACGGGGAGGTCACTGCACAGACAGGTCAAGCAACCGCACAGGGGGGCACAGCTCTGTGGGAGCCCAGGGGTCTGCCCCTTCCCGCCAGGAGGAAGTCGTCCCCACTTCTCCGAGACACAGTTCTGGCCTCCCATTGCCCTCCCGGCAGTCCGTCATCCCAGTCCCCACTACCCTCTGGTCACACTGACCAGGGCTCTGCCCAGCGGGATGCCCACTCCCCGAGCCCCTCTTGCACGGGCCTGTGGGCGGCTCAGGACTCAGGCCTCCTCTGATGGGCAGGAGACTGTGTTTCTGAGAAGATGGTGTCACAGTCAGGGCTGGAACGGGGCCAAACAGTGGCTCTCCTTGTGGGGTGGGTGGCGAGGGGACGCTGGCCACAGGTGCCCCAGCGAACACGAGGAAGGAGAGGCACCCGCAGGCAGAGGCTGGGGAAGAAGGTGGCTGTTGTCTCCTCCTCCATCTCCGAGAACAATTCCCCTTTTGAGCTTCTTGGCTGGGAGAGTTGAGAGATTCTTTCTCCAAGGCTTCTTCTTGACAGGTTGATTTATCTGTTTCGGTAACTCGGTCTTCCTGAGAAGGAGAGGCTGTGTGCCAGGGCCGGTGTGGGGCCCGCCTGGGGGCAGAGGAGGGCCCGGCCCCCAGTCCCATGCGGCCTCGGACCCTCGGGCCACCTCCCTGCCCCCTGCTCCTGAGCAAGGGGAGGGGGACCAGGCGGGGAACCAGGAAGAGCACGAGGCCTACGGCAGAGTTTGGGTTCCTCCTGCAGTCCACCTGAACTCTGCTGCCCAGGGTGGGCCCTGGACCCACTTTCTGGATGGGAGACCGCTGCCTAAGGATATGGTGAGCACAAGGCAGAGACCAGACTGATGCTGAGCTCAGCGCCTCCACTGCGGCCCCCAGGCACCCGAGGAAAGGACTCTGAGCCCCAAGGGCGGGGTGGGAGGCTGGACCCGGGCAGGGGCAGGTGTGGCCTCCCCAGGTGGGGTGAGATCCCAGGCTGACAGCCTTCTTGGGTGCCCCCTCGCTGTCTCCCAACAGGAGAGCCCGTTGCCAGACCCTGCAGGGCTGTCCCCCGCTGGTGCCCACAGCCCCAGCACAGACCCCCGCCCACCAGGTATCTCCCCTTCAGACTGCCCCCTCCCCCAGTGGGGACCCAGGACACAAGCAGGGAGATAGGGAAGGGCTAGGAGGGAGGGAGCCCAGAACCCCCGAGGGAGGCTCAGAAGGCCTAGAGCCACTGAGAAAATCTACAAGGCAGCCTGTGCTGGAAAAGCCTCGTGGAAATGAATCACAAAGTCAGGCCCCAAGAACAATTTCTTTCTGGGGCAAGGAGACGGCATCCGTCAGCCAAACGACACAGCCTGGCCCTAGACCTGCAGGGGTGTGATGGGGAGAGGGGAGTGGCCATGAGTCCGGGACTGCACTGGGGCTCTGAAGCCTGAACAGTACAGACGGCCCTCGCCCTGAGCCTGTGGGCGTGACATTGCTTCCTGCTGAGCCCCGTTCCCCACCTCTCTAAAGGGGGTGCTAGTGATGTTGGGTCAGCCAAAATGGAACTGGGGTACACCCCCTGCTGTATTCTGTGTGTCCCCACAAATCACTCCAGGCCCCTCTGAGAGCAAGCTAGGAATTTGTCATTAGAAATGAAAAGCCGTGGAAAGTGGTGCTTGCGTGCTTAGTCGTGTCTGCCTCGTCGTGACCCCACAGACTGTAGCCCGCCAGGCTCCTCTGTCCATGGGATTCTCCAGGCAAGAGTATTGGAGTGGGTTGCCGTTTCCTTCTCCAGGGAATCTTCCTAACCCAGGGATCGAACCCACATCTCCTGCACTGGCAGGCAGATTCTTTACCACTGCGCCACCTGGAACACCCATGGAAAGTGGTGGTAGGTGGGTGATAACGAGGAACGTGGGGTTAACAAACACACATCACCAAGGACCTACTGTGGAGCACGGGGAACTCTACTCAATATTTTGTAGCAACTTATAATGGAAAAGGATAGGAAAAAGAATGTATGTATGTATGTAACTGGATCACTGTGCTATACACCTGAAACTAACATGACATTGTAAACCAATTTTAAAAGAAAGAGAACTCTGTGTGACCGGGGGCAGCTGCTGGCCCCAGGTGGGCTTACTTAGGAGCCGCTTCAGTGCCGCCCAGGAGCCCTGTCCTCCCGTCCTGGAGGGGCTCCCTCCCACCTCCCATGCTGTCCTCTGTCCTCAGGCCCCCAGGTCCCCTGCGGCGCGGTGACCGCGAGGCCGGGGCTGCTCGGGCAGCAGTGGGCAGTCCCCAGGTGTCCTCACTGCATGTTCTGGGGTTGTCCCAGAGGTCTTGGAGGCTTGCTGACCTTTGTGGGCCCCCTCTCAACCGAGAAGATGGATGCCCACGGCCACACACCTGGAACCTGCCCCTGGGGAACCCCCACAATCCTTCCACTCAGCTCCTTGCCCTCTGCTCTGGGGACTCTCTCTTCACACCTCCATGTTTCGCTTCAACTCCTTGCAGTTTTAAAACCGTAATTTTACCTTATTTTTTAAATTGCGGTACAATATCCATGACATGAAATTTACCATTTTAACCATTTCCAGTGCAGCTTAGTGACAAGGACGTCCACCGTCACACCATCCATCCCAGGATGGTCTCATCAGGCAGAACTAACACTCTGTCCCTATTAAACCCATTCCCCTCACCGCAGCCCCTGGACCCACCTTCCTGGCCCTTGGAATGTGACGACTCCAGGGACCCTGTCTAAGTGTAGTCACAGGGTGTCTGTCTTTCTGTGGCCAGCTTCTTCCCCTGGGCGTAATGTCCTCGAGGTTCATCCGCCTGGCAGCAGGTGTCAGAATGTCCCTCCTTTTCAAGGATGAATAACATCGCCTTGTGTGGATGGACCACGTTCTCTTCACCCCTCCATCCACTCAGGTCCTTCTGCACTGTGGACCTGGGGCTCCCTCCTGGGTCCTGCCCGAGTGGAGCTCTGCCCTTCATGCCCTCCCCACCCATCAAGGCGGCAAGGGGCCCCCAGGCTTGCCTTTCCCTACATAGGGAAACTGGTCAGGTGAGGCCCCTCTGCCCTCTGCTCTCTGGGAGGCTGCCACTGTGGGTCATCCAGAGGCCTTGCTCTGCTCACTACCCCTCCCCACAGGGCACCATCACACCACACTTTCGCCACTGGTTTTGCCCCATGGGGCCCCAAGCAGGATGTCAGGGACACATGGGTGGAAAAGGGACTCAGGAAAGGGCCGTGCACACCCCAGGGAGCCCATCTCTTCCTCCAGGAGTGCATGGGCCAGCCTTGGGGGGCCCTGGCTGTGCCCTGGGGACCCAGACCCGAGGGATGCCTCCCACCCAGCACCACTCAGCAGCTCGAAGGCCAGTGTAGGTGCCTTGATGACTCTGACCTCAAGTCCAGCCAAGCAGGGCTTGAATCCCGGCCTGCTCCAGATGCCTATCAGGCCTTCAGAGTCCCCCTTCTCAGAACCCCAGTCCCTCCCCATCCGTCTTCTGCTGACCTAGGATGAGCCCAAGGGGCCTGAGATCCCAGGGCCCTGGAGCCTCAGCAGAAAAGAGACAAAGAGAAGCAGGACCACAGCCCCTCCCCGCTCAGGAGTTCCTGAGAGCCAGGCCCCAGGCCGCAGCCACCCACCCACTCGGCACAGGAGGGCCGTGTGCTCAGGGCTCAGCCCCTCCCCCTGCTGGGCAGCCAGGCCCCGGTCCAGGTGTGCCGAGGTGGCCCCGCCCGCGCTGTGCCGGGCAACCTGAAGCCAGCGTGGCCCAGCGACAGTTGGCGCTTCGGCACCCAGGAAACAGACACGAAAGCTGCCAGGCAACAGGTGATGGCACAGTCCCGTCCGGGGACCAGACCTCAGGGACTTACCACCTCTGTTTCTACAGTTTACTTGATCGCTAAGTTTAATTATGTGTGATGACAGCTCGCAGCACTCCTTACCATCTGACGGCCAGTCGGTTCTCCACGCCTCCAGCACAGCACTGCCCACCCTGATGTTCAACCTCAGGCCAAGGTTTCTGCCAAGGTCAGCTTTAGATCTGAAGCTCTGACCAGAGCCCCAACTTCCCTGTGAATAGTGGGGCCCATTGTCATTCCTACTGCCCAGATGCGACCCCGAAGCTCATCACAGCCTCACACACCATCCTCACAAGGACAGTGCCACTCCATCCGTGGTCCCTGGGTGTCGGTGGTGGTGGTGGGAGGGGGTGCCCTGCTGAAAGCCCAGGCCCGGAAGGTAGATAGGCAGTCAGCAGAGTCAGCACCAGCTGACAGAGAGCAGCCCGGGCCCAGGGTCCGCACACGTGAGGGTGAGGGCGTTGGCGCCAGGAGCTCTGATCCTTCCATCATCATGGCAATCTCAGATTTCCCTGAAAGGAGAGCGTGTGAAGCCCAGGGACGCCCGGCACGTGTGTCCAAGCCCCTTGGCACATGCTGTAAGTGATCAGGTGGCCCGTGGGTGACAAGCCAGCAGGGCACAGTGGCACGCCTGGCACCCCCACGACCTGAAGCCCAGGGGCAGCAGGTGAAGTGGGCGCCTCCCTCTAGGGGCCCCCCGGACCCTCCTTTTGCTCTTTTCCACGTGGGCCCCATCCAGCTCTGCCCTCAGAGAGCTTCTGCTCTAAAGGGGAAGGAAATAAGGTGCAAAAGGGGTGAGGAGACTGGAGGTTGCTTGCTCAACAATCTCATGTGATGAAAGAAAACACGCTTCCTCACTGAAAACGGGGCCACTGATTCTCATAGAGCTTAGGCCATTTGGGGTGGGGGTAGGAGTTCTATTCTTTTTTAAATATGTTTGACTTTTTCAGTAAAAAGCCATCCTCCCCCAGAGGGAAGCTGCAAAGTAAAAATCAATTCTGGTTGTTTGTTTTATTTTTAATCTAAGATGACCCAGGTTCTTTCTTTAAAAGCGAGAAGCTTCTATTCACGACATGCAGCCAATCAGTTCTTTCCACTCTGACCTCAGTTTGCATCAGACCAGACACCAGTCCAGCCAGCCTCCAAGCCTGAATGGGCACCTGCTATGAGCATCCTTCGCTGGGAGCTTATGGCATGTGGTCAGCCCCCGCAGTGTGGCCTACAAAGACGGGCTCGGACAGGCGGGGTGGGAGGCAGCCTTGGTGAGGTGAGGCAGGCACGTCCCAGGAGAGCATGGAGGAACACCCAGTTGCCAGGCCCAGATAAACCCAGGCAGAGGGAAGGGTCCCCCTGTAGCCCGGGCAAGAGCGAGTTTTCTTGAGTAACATCTCCCTCTACTGGTCACTTAGGGTATTGTGGGCAGGAACTAGAACCCTCGGGCTGGTGCAGTTTTCACTGCAACGAACTAACACCCCTTCACCTCAGCGCCACAGGCTGGAAAGGATGAAAACGAGGGCGGATCTGACCCACCTGCTTTAGGGAATAAGCAGTTCAAGTCCCCCTCCCCCCAAAAAAGAAGTGCAAGTCCCTAGAATTATCTCCAGACACCAAAACCAGCGGTTCAGTCGCTCCGCCGTGTCAGACTCTGCACCCCACGGACTGCAGCCCGCCAGGCTTCCGTCCTTCACCACCTCCCAGAGTTTGCTCAGACTCATGTCCCTTGAGTCGATGATGCCATCCAACCATCCTGCGCTCTGTCGTCCCCTTCTCCTTCTCGCGGAGGGATGAAACGTTGATTTTAGAGAGAGGACAGAGCTCACGTGGAGGGATCCAGCTAGTCACTTGTTGGTATCTGGGCAGCACGCTCAGAGCCCGCCTGTCGGGCATACATTTGGACCTACACGGAGGCCACCTTTGCTCTGCCAGGGCCTCCTTTTAACTCTGAGTCTTTTTCCTGAGAAACTACAGTTGCCTCCGATCAAGCCTCTTGATGCAATTACTAACAGGAGAAAATACAGACAGAAGAACTGGCTCAGCCGTAACACAGGGATGCAGCACGCGAAGTCCAGGCCTTCCTGTGAGAAACTCTTCAGGACAAACAGCCAGTTTCTCCAACAAATAATTTGTGCAGGAAAAATGGAAAGGTGGAGAGGGATGTTTGGATCAAAGAGACCTGAGAATGGGGTGATGGCCAGCAGACACTGTTGAATAGAAAAGCAAAAAGTGTGAGTGAGCATCTGCCACAGGAGAGAAAGGGGAGTGAAAGGGGCCAAACACATACACCCGCTTGTCTGTGTGAAGGAAACGCATGGAGGAGAAGCTGCCACGGCCGAGACTGGCCCCGGGCCGCGGTGGGGCCGAGTGGAGAAGACGGGTGAACAGGGCAGAGGGCTTGGAGGGTGTGACACTTGGATACACTAACCAATGGTTCTGATTTTCAGAGTCATGTTGAGTGTGCGCGCACTCCAAACATTTCTTTGAACTCTTTGTGTTGTATTGGTGTATAGCCAATTAACAATGTTGTGATAGTTTCAGGTGAAGAGCGAAGGGACTCAGCCATCCATATACATGAATCCATTCTCGCCCAAACTCCCCTCCCATCCAGGCTGCCACGTGACATTGAGCAGAGTTCCCTGTGCCATACAGTAGGTCCTTGTTGGTCATCCATTTTAAATACAGCAGTGTGTACATGACCGTCCCTAACTCCATAACTCCCCCTTCCCGCTGGCAATCACAAATTTGTCAAAACCTTTTTTTAAAATCAACAAAGATGGAAATAAGCCCCAGATGGAGTACAACCAGCAAACAATGAGATGAAGAGTTTTACAAATGAGTTACACATCTACACTGAAGGGAGGGAGGAAAAAACTCATCCAAGAAGCTTTGGAAAACAATACTTTCATTATAACCTCTGGGGCTAAAAACATGAAGCCTTATGCTGTGCTATGCTGTGTCAAGCTGGGTCAAGTCGCTTCAGTCGTGTCTGATCCTTTGCGCCCCTAAGGACTGCAGCCCACCAGGCTCCTCTGTCCACGGGATTCTCCAGGCAAGAGTACTGGAGTGGGTTGCCATTGCCTTCTCCAGGGGATCTTCCTGACCCCGGGATCAAATCCGGGTCTCTTAGGTCTCCTGCATTAGCAAGTGGGTTCTTCACCACTAGGGCCACCTGGGAAGCCCCATAAAGACTGGTATACATCTGTTATTCCCTATGGGGTAGGTGTGTTTTTCACAGGGGTACAGGAAAGCAGTTCTGGGTGCATCCCCAGGAGGGGGCTTTCTGGATCACATGGTAGTTCTAGTTTTCGTTTTCTGAAGAACCTCCATACTAGCCTCCATGTGGCTCCACCAACTTCCATTCCCACCAGCGGTGTAGGAGTGCTCCCTCTTCCCCACACTCTCTCCAGCACTGGTTATTTGTAGACATTTTGACAATGGCCATCCTAACTGGTGTGAGATGGTACCTCAATGTATTCAATAGTTTTGATTTGCATTTCTCTACTAACTAGCATGTTGAGAATCTTTTAATGTGTCTATTGGTCATTGAGAAGGCAATTCTAAAACTAGTTTATGTGCATCCCAGGGTCAAGCAAATGGGTAAATATGTCGTGGATAATAAGGTCCAAGACACTCCAGGTTGGAGAGAGGAGTTATAAATAAGGAAAAGAGAAGCTAGAAGGAACACTTTGGTGTTGGATTGGAGATGAGGGTATCAGCATGAAATCACCATTTTTAATCTGTATACAGGTATGCATACTATATGTGGTATGCATATAACTAATAGCATATACATATAATTCATGGTTTTCTATATATATACATATATCTCCTATACATATATCATGTATAATAAATACGCATATACATATAATACATAACTAATAGTACCTACATGTAACTCATAGGTTTTAATATATATATTGTTGTTTAGTGGTTAAGTCATGTTTAGCTCTTTTTGAGACCCCATTCAGATATTCTATATCTATGTATATAGTATATATATATGGGGGTGTGTATATATATAGTATTCTTGCCTGGGAAATCACAAGGACAGAGGAGCCTGGTGGGCTACAGTCCATGGGGTCACAGAGTTGGTCACGACTGAAGCGACTGAGCATGCACACACGCACACGTACACACATATATGTTTTTTACATACATGTTTCCTAGAGCCATCTGCTGAGACGGCCCAAGAGCAGTTAGCACACCCAGCACCATTCTCAATGAAGCAAACCAGGGCTCCTCAGAGGAACAGCTCACTCCAGGGCTAACTCAGCAAAGATCTAAGATGAGCCTGGAGCATCTTGTGACAGCACAGAGCAAAGAAACACTCAAAAATGATAAGGACATGTCAGAAGGACATGGAAGCGGGGGCTTCCCTGGGGGTCCAGTGGTTAAGACTTCGCCTTTCAGTGCAGAGGGTGCAAACTCAACCCCTGGTCAGGGAGCTAAGACTCCAGTGCCTTGTGGCTAAAACACCAGACACAGAACAGAAGCAATATTATAACAAAGTCCAAAAAAGACTTTTAAAATGGTCCACATCAATACAAAAAAAAAAAAAAGGGCATGGAAGCCAACCCAAGAGAGCTCCCAAGAGCCAAAGCTGGGACAATTTGGACAACAAAATAGAAGGTGATGGTAATGACCTGTAAGTCACTGAATAAACTAAGAGTCTATGAACCACACCAAAACAGACAGATGAATAAATACATAAATGAGGAGAAAGGAAAAGTCTTCCTCACAGAAGAAATCTCAAGCATTAAACATAGAAGGAAGGATGGACACAGAAAACTGACTATTTAACCAACTCCTCAGTAATCATTTTTTCAAGCAAGAATCAACAAAGAATTCTAAAATGAGTAGGCAAAAAAAAAAAATGATGAAAAACAAAACATTTGCATGGTCTTAAAATACCTCCCACCAGACCCTTATTAATTGCAAAGTGAAAGAATGATAACTTCACAGTAGAGAAATCAGGCGTCGTGTGCCCCCAGAAGGGTACACTGAAAGGATGCGGGTGCCTGCCAAAAGTGCATAACCCAAATTTAATCAGGAGGAAACATCAGACAAACCCAAACTCTACAAAACAAGTGGCCAATACTCTACTCCTCCTCCCCAAAAAAGAAGATAAAGCCAGACTGAGGAACGCCTCCAGATGAAAGGAGACAACTGAACTGGCAAAATTTAAGTAAGATCTGTAGATGAGAGCATAGTGTTTCAAGCATGTTGATTTCCTGATTTTGATAGTTGTGCTCTGGTTATATAACATGGTAAGGTCGGAAGAATCTGGGTGAGGAGTACAATGGGAATTCTTGTACTATTTTTGTGCCTTTCCGGTAAGTCTGAAATTATTTCAAAATGAAAAGTTGAAAAGGAAGATCCCAGAGGGGCCTCCCTCGGTCACTCTGGGTGGATCCTGACTCAAAAAACCTGGAAAGGAAATTCGGCCCCCTCTCAGATAACTGGACATTTGATTCTGGGTGTTTGCTGCCACCTCTCCCTCAGTGGCCCTGCCATCTTTTAGAGATGTGTGCTGAGATATTTTCAGATGAAATGATGTGGTGCCTGAGATTTGCATCAAAATAATAGAGGGGCAGCAGGAGGTGTGGGTGTGGCTGGGGCAAGGGTGGCCAGGAATTAACTGTTGGGGCTGCAGGGTGGGTCCCAGTGTTCATAATACAGTTCTGTCTCTGTGGGCTTGAGAGTCTCCAAAATAAAATGTGTTTGAAAACACTGCCCAGAAGCAGATCTCAGCCCAGACAGAGGAAGGAAGAAAGCGTTGTTTAGTCACTCAGCTGTGTCCGACTCTTTGCAACCCCGTAGACTGCAGCACACCAGGCTTCCCTGTCCTTCACTGTCTCCCAGAGCTTGCTCAAACTCATGTCCATTGAGTTGGTGATGCCATCCAACCATCTCATCCTCCGTCGTCTCCTTCTCCTCCTGCCTTCAATCTTTCCCAGCATCAGGGTCTTTTACAATGAGTCAGTTCTTCACATCAGGTGGCCAAAGTATTGGAGCTTCAGCATCAATCCTTCCATTAATATTCAGGGTTGATTTCTTTTAGGATTGACTGGTTTGATCTCCTTGCTGTCCGGGACTCTCAAGAGTCTTCTCCAACACCACCATTCAAAAGCACGTTGGGAGGTGTCGAAAGCGTGTTGGGGTATTCCTCCCTGGATCCTTCCTCTCTCTGTGCAGGGCCATCCGAGGCCGTGGCCAGACTGTCTGGGGCCTGTTCAGCCACCTCCCATGCCCCAGTTTCAGAGGTTCACGGTCACCTGCTCCCACTGCCCAGGAGAGCAGACTTCAGAGCCGGGACCACGTGTCACATGGCCCCGAAGCTGCCCCTTCCCCACTCTCTACTCCCTTCCCTGTCCATAGGTAGCGCAGCATGTTTTCATGATAGCTAAATTTTCCCCTTCTTTTTGTGCTTCCTCTGACTCAAGCCACATGGGGAAAGCTTGAGACCAGAAGGATATTGGGGACAGTGACAGGACAGCCTCACTTCCTAGGGCACAGGTGGTACCCAAGGCCAGATTCTGTCTCTCACACACAAACACACAACACATTCATTCTCACACTCATTCTCATCCTCTAAACTTTGAGCCAGTGCCCATGATCAGTGAGGAATCAAAATGCATTAAGGTTTGTATTCTGATGGAACAGATGCATCAGATAGACAATAAGTTATGGGGAAGAAAGCAAACAACCCCTCTTGCATCCCTGACTTTGTACTCTGTAAAAGATTAAAGCTATGTGGTCATCATTTCATGCTGTGTGCAAGTCAAATCGTTATGCTGGTCACCTTTAACTTATACAGTGCTGCCTATCAACTATATCTCCATAAAACTAGAAGAAAAAAATAAAAACATATGAGAGTGCATTTTAAAAAGATTAAAAAGAAGGAGACACCAGCATACTGTGAACTCTCTGCCACAGTGAGAGGTTGCCCTGGGGGTCAGCATGGAGCCTGGAAAATCAGACAATCATGGGGGGTCCATGGCCTGCAATCTGGCACGCACATCATGCTGTAAGTCATGGGGCCTCAAAGGTAGGTTCTGGGGAGTTGATGTGTATAAACTTGGATTGGGAGAAAGCAAACGTGTGTACTTTGATTTTTACTATTTTCTCCTACGCTGTGACTTTTAGCCACTGAATGTGCTTGGAGTGGAGTAGTTAGATAAGAACATTGAATGCTGGGGACCTGGGAACACACTGAACTCTTCCAATTAATTATTACAAAACAACCCCCCATTTTTAAGCCTCCCTGCTGTCAATTTCCTGGAAGGTGAATGGGAAATAGACCTCTTTAGGTGGGGGCTCTGTACTCAATAGCCAGCACTGGTGGGCATATCCTGGCCCAAGGCCACCGCCTCCAGACCCCTCATCCTTGCCTTCCAGGCCATTCTTGATTTTTTTTTTTCTGGAATGAAGAGCGTCAATGGGATCAGATGCCCCAACTGTGGCATCGGGGCGCCACCTGGTGGTCAGTCTATGCAGTGCCATTCTCCCAAACCGTCTGCCAAGTGTGAGTGTGTGTGTATGTGTGTGTGTGTGTGTGTGTGTGAGAGAGAGAGAGAGATCACAAGAGGGAGGTGTGTGTGTGTGTGTGTGTGTGTGCGCTTGCGCATCTGTACGAGAAAGAGAGAGAGAGAGATCACAAGAGGAGGGAGTTTCAAATCCCAACTCTGCTATTTACTTAGTAATCGACCTTGGATAAATCACTTAAGCTGGATGAACTTGCTTTTTCATCTGAAAACTGGGAATAACATTCCCTCCTCATAAAGCTGTTGGATGCACATATGGGGCATAGAGGAGGCTGGCCATAAACATGCTCTCGGATTCCTCCACGCGTGGTCAGCAGGGATAAAGGCGGAGGTCTTCTACCAACCAAGTGTCTGCCCTACCCTGACCCCACACCAGCACCCAGGGCATCAGGCAGAGACTGTCTGTGGGTGCACGGCTTCAGCCCGACACAAGTTATTGCTTACGAACTTGGTCTAAGGCTTTCTCTAGCTCATACTTTCACTGAGGGCTGCTGTCTCCCTTTGGAGCTGCTTCCATACCAAGCAGCACTAAGGGAGGCTTGTCAGGACTGGGCTGTGTCTCCAGCACCCTTCTAGATGCTCAGGTCATAGAGAAGGACAGAGGGGCAGCGAGCAGGAGCTGTCTGGGTGAATCATTTCCATTAACGTGGAGCTGAACTGGGGTTTCTGCAACCATAAAAAAGGGCCCCACTGCACAGTCAGAGGTGGAATCTCCTTTCCTGACAAGCTTTGAGGTCCCTTTCTCATCCACCATGATACCTCATTATAACTGAAGAAGATAAAGCTATAATTCAAAAAGACACATCCACCCCTGTGTTCATAGCAGCACGATTCACAATAGCCAAGACACGGAAACAGCCTAAATGTCCATCAACAGATGAATGGATAAAGAGGATATGGTAAGTATATACAGTGGAGTGTTATTCAACCGTAAAACAGAATGGAATAATGCCATCTGCAGCCAAAGATGGGTCTAGAGATGATCACACTCAGTGAAGAAAGTCAGACAGAGACAAACACTGCATGATGTCACTTAAATGTGGAGTCTAAAATATGACACAAGTGAACTCAGCTATGAGAGAGAAACGGACTGTCAGACACAGGGAACAGACTGTGGTTGCCAAAGGGAGGGAGTACAAGAGGGATGAAGTGGGAGCTTGGGGTGAGCAGCTGCAAACAGTCATACAGAAAGTGGATAGACAACAAGTGCCTACTCTGTAGCCCAGGGAACTATATCCAATATCCCATGATAAACCGTAATGGAAAAGACAATGAGAAAGACTGTATGCATACGTATGACCCAACCACTTCGCTCTGCAGCAGAAATTGACACAACATTGTCAATCAACTATACTTCAATAAAATAATTTTTTTTTTTAAAGCTAAAAAAGATCTGGACATTCTGTAGCCCACAGCATGGAGGGCCATAGGGGTTTTGGGATCATGGACCATGGACCCGGGGTAGAAACTGAAACTATCTCTTGGCTCATTCAAACTGTGCCCAGAACTGTTAAAACTGAACATTCTAATTCACTTGCTTCTCCTCACCTCTTTTCAAGTCACACCTCTGTAGTTCATTCTGATTTCTGGTTGTATTAACTTTTGTCAGTTTTCTGGTCACTGTCAATTAGACCATGTTTCTTTAGGCTCCAGTTTGAGGTCAGCCTTTGACCTAAAACAGCTCAGAACAATCTGGTCCTTCCTTCCTGTCTCCTAGACCATCCCAGGCGGGACCACCAGCCCATCACCTCCCTGCATCTCTCTCTGCCGTCACCCACGGGCTCTGTCAGTTTTCCTAGGCCTTCTGGTCCTCTCTGGGGGACCTGGTTCCCCTCTGGTCCTCTCTGGGAGCCCATGGGGACTTTCTCAAGTCAAGGCTTCTAGATATTGAAATCAGTACAGCTGTAAGGGAAGCCAAAGATACGGAAAAGCAGTCATCATTTGTTGCACATGCAAAGGAGTAAATACTGCAGAGGTGTTCGGGGCAGCCTGTGAGAACTGCGCTGTGAGATGAAAACATCTGTGACTGAGGACAGAGTTATGGGTCCTTCTAATAAAACTGTTTCCTTTTTATTCTTTTAACCCATGTACTGGAAGGGAATGTGACCTTCCAATTAGAGGTTCATGAAAAGAAAAGTGTAATTTTTTCCCATCCGAGTTGTGGCCACCCTGAATTCTCTGCTTGGACCCTCAGGGTCCAGGGACCCAGATGAAGACCCTCTGAGCCAGCGATCACTGATCTGCTGCCAGGGCATGACTGTGGGAGACCCTTGCAGGCCGGTGCTCGCTGAGTGCTGGCCAGAGAAGCGCATGGTCCTTGGAGGACCGGAGGCTGTTCTGACACCTCACCGGGCTCGTGTCATCGCCAAATGCAGCAGGGCAGCCTGGACTGGCTGGAGGGGCCTCGTGCCCTAGCTTTGGGCTGAAGGGAAAGCTGAAACTGCACAGGGCCCCCACGGTGCTCCTGACCTGAGTGCAGTACCCTGGTGATCTCTGCGTCATTAAGGGAAGTTAAACATCTATGCAAACTTTATTAAAAAAAAAAAAAAAGCAAGGAGGGGATAGATGGCTGACCATACGGCCTTCCTGAGGGAGAGATGAGCCCTGAACACGGAGTCTAAGGAGAAAGGGGCAGGTTGGGAGCTGTCCCTGGAGGAGACGGGAGGGGACGCTGAGCAGGGAGAGACTGACTTCAGGGTGTGAGGAGGGCTGGGGAGGCCTGCGGGTGGAGCAGGCCTGTTCTGATGGTGTTTCCAGCCCTGCGCTGGGAGGGCCAGGTGGGAATGTAGGACCCACCCTCTGTATCCATGGCTACGGAATTCTGACCTGGGCCGGGGGCAGTGAGCATCCCTCTATGTTATGGCAGGTTATGGCAGGTGTTATGGCAGGGGCTGGGTTACCAGGATAACTGAGAGAGACAGTCAGCGCCCTCCCAGGGCCCACGGGGCTGAGTAGGACAGAAAGGAGAGGTACACAGTGTTAGGGCCATCTGACCCAGTCCAGGAGGTCAGAGAGGAGGGCACACGGGCTGAGACCCAGGGGAAGAGTGGGATGTGGCCAAGAAGAGTGAGGAGTCTGCCAAAGGCCCTCTGGGGAGATGGCAGAGCAACCCCAGACCCCACTTCACACTGTGAGTTAGAGTTCTCTTCCCACCTGCTCACTGGCTTATAAGACCCAAAGCTGTTGTCCATCTCAGGGACAATCTGAACATCAAAATGGTGATGGCTAAGCCAAAAGGAAACATCATTTTGTAAGAGAAAGTAGTATCCAGGATCTCACTTGATGCCGCTGTTTAGTCCTGTTGATTTTATGTTCTTTAATGCTGTCAGCTCCCCCTGCTCTAGGCCTGACTGATGAACAAGTCAGTTGAAATCAGCCTCTTCTCTGTTATCTGGAGATTCGTGTGTTTTATTTCACATGAAGCTTAGATGACTTTCTGGAAGCACGGAAGTGTGACATGAAGGAACATCACACCAAGCTCTTAGGCTCGGGACAGAACAGCAAGAGAAAAACACTCTGACTTTGCACAAATCCTTCCACTGCCTCAACATTTCCAGCCAATGAAGAAACCAAGACCCAGCCACGTGTTCACCTGCTTCTGTGTTTTCTCCCACATCTGCTGTGCCTCACTTATATTGCGCTATAAATAAAATGTCAACCATCAGGGGAAAAAAAATCACTTTACAATTGCTTTGTTGAATTGAAAACAGGCAACATTTTTGAAGTGAAAGAATTCACTTTGTGAATTTGTTATTCATTTGGTTGTTAACCTGTGAGAAGTTCCAGGACATTCCTTCTAGTGGGAGTCACCGCTCAGCCAGCTGACTTGGCAGTAGCTAGGCAATTTTATGGCCAGGAGGCCTGCGCACAGAGGGAACTGTGTGAGCCAAACCACTGCCCCCTCCGCCCCCTCCTCGCTCTGCATCAGGCACACGAGGCAACAGGCAGAACCCCGCAGGAGGGCGCCTCCAGGAGCCTGCTGGGCCAGGGGCCTCCTGGGCCTCTGATACCTCCGCCCTCATGGCCACACCCATGACCAAGGAGACTCAAGTTTAGCTTTGGGCTTTGAAGATCCCGGGCCACCCACATTTTCCACACGGGGGTGGGCTGGGGCACAGTGGAGGGGGCAGCAAGTCCTACCTGGGGTCCGAGAAGGTCCAGGTCGCCTGGTGAGAGGTATCCCAACCCCCAGACCTCCCAGCGGACACCAGCATCTCTGGAAGTCCCACCTGGGAAGGGGCCTCCGAGTCCCTCTCTCCATCTCAGGGCCAGCTCGCAGGACACCGGAAGGCGGGAGCTATTGAGGGGATGTGGGCGACCGGGGACACTAGGGGCTGCTCGCCGCCCACCCCCCACCGAAGAGAAAGAAGCCCAGGGCGGAGGGCGGAGGCGGCGCGGAGGCAGCGCAGAGCCCCCGCTCCGCGGAGGCAGCGCAGAGCCCCCGCTCCGCTGATGGACTTCACATCGCTGCAGCCTCTGCATCCCAAATCACAAATCTGTCCTCCCACCCGGGCGAGGAACCATCCTCCCGGCCCTGGGCCAGCAGTTCTACTGGGGACGCCCATGGCCCGCTCCTTCTGAGAACTTGGGGTGACAGCCTCTGCGTTGGGCGGTGTGACCCGACGGGGAGAGGCGGCGGGAACACCTTTCGCCCGCAGTCTCACGGTCCCGCCTGCTCGGGGTCTCTGAGGTCTGGGATTAGGTGCTGAGCCGCAGGCAGAGGAGGAGCTTGAGGCTGGCGCGCATTCGAGGGGCGGGCGGCGGTTGGGAACCTGGTCCTCACCTGACACTCCAGCGGCTCCTGTGCTAATAAACCTATCTCATCATCTTTGTCCCCTCCGCCCATCTCCATGTCCTCAAATCCCAGGTCTGCTCCATCCCACTCCTGCCGGGAGGTCTCCCCGCTGCGGACAACAATGCTCCCAGCTCCAGCGGGAGCACCCAGCACCGAGCTCTCTGCCTGCTTCTCAGCTCGTCCCCTTCCGCCCTGAAAGGGAGGCCCCACTTCTAGTCCCCATTCCCAGCTGCAGAAACGGAGCCTCAGAGCAGTTACTATGAGCAGGGGGACACGGGGACGGGTCATAGCGGGATTCTCACACAGAGCCCAAGATCTTGCAGGCTGCCTCCCAGCAGGGCTCTTCTCTCTGGCCAGCTTCTGGGGTTCTCCATCCTGCGTCTCCCAGCGCACTCACTGCTGCCTAAAAACAATCATTATATTTGCCTTTTTTTTTTTTTTTATGACAACACAAACAGTATGGGGTCATCTTGTGGAAAACCTAGATAATACAAAAGTAAAGAAGGGATTAAAACTCACCCACCTTTGTATCCCCTCTTGTTTGGCTCTGCTCTTTGGTTATTATAGACAAGACTGGATGCACAGTTTCTCAGACTTTTTTCACTTATACTTCACTTATGTTGAAAGCAATATTCCCATTATGAAATATTTGTGGGTAATGTCATTTTCATGGCTGTTCTGTGCTCCATGGGACAGCTGAATTAAACTGTGTTCACTGTTAAGGGATTATAACATTCACTTTCAAAAGTCTGGCGATGGGAGGGCGGGGTGACTCAGAGCTGTGAGACTCTTATGCGCTCCCTGGTGGGAGGGTAGAGCCATGCGACAGCTTTTGAAAGCATCTGAGCATCTGGGCGCCACTGAAAAGCTCTGGCTGGTACCACCCAGCCGCCCGTCTCCTTGGGACACACCTTAGCAAAGCTCACCAGCACGGACTCCAGCAGATCAGTACTGCAAGGCCAAGGGCCTCAAACATAATGTGGATGCAAGCAGCTAGAGAATAAAGTATGCCGTTTATATCAAATTGAAAAGCAAGCAAAGCAGCACTGCTTTTTAGAGATACATGTATTCTAGAGGACTTATGAAGAATGCATGTGAATTCTGAGCATCAAGTTCAGGATGGTGGCTGCCTTTGGTGAAGAGAGGCAACAGAGAAATAGTTGGGATGGGGTGTGGACTATACCCAGCTACCCACTGGATAGGTTGATTTATGCAGTTGTGTTATCGGGTATGTGGGGCTTCCCTGGTAGCTCAGTTGGTAAAGAATCCACCTGCAATGCAGGAGACCCTGGTTCGATTCCTGGGTCTGAAAGATCCAGGTAGGTTTTGTTATTAGGTACATAGTTGTTACATTAGCAGATTAATTTTATTTTGTAATACATTAATCAAGAAAGGGAGAAAAGGGACCAACAAAACTGACAAGCTTTTAACTAGGAGTACAAAAAGAAAAAGAAATCAAAGACTAAATGAAATGGAAATACATCCCGTGTTTGTGGATTGGAAGACTTAATATTATTGAAATGTCCATACAAACCAAAGCTACCTACAGATTCAATGCCATCCCTATCAAAATCCCAATGATTTTTTTTCAGAAATAGAAAAATCCATTCTAATATTCATATAGAATCTCAAGGGGCCCTGAATAGCAAAAACAATGCTGAAAAAGAACAAAGCTTATTTTAAACTTATTACAAAGCTACAATAATCAAAACAGTGTGGTACTGGCATAAAGGCAGACCAATGGAATAGAATAGAGAGACCAGAAATAAAGCCTCACATATATGATCAAATGATTTTTGAGAAGAGTGGTGCTATTCAATGGGAAAAGACAGTCTTTTCAACAAATGATACAGGGAAAGCTGCATATTCACATACAAAAGAGTAAGTTTGATCCTTACCTAACACCATATACAAAAACTAACTAAAATGGATCAAAGGCCCAAACATAAGAGCTAAAACTATAAAACTCTTAGGAGAAAACATATGTCAACACTTCACAACATTTGATTCAGCAACAACTTTGTGATTATGACACTAAAGTCACAGACAACAAAAGAAAAAATAGACAAACTTTGACTTTGTGAAAATTTTTAAATGCTGGGTATATTAAAAAAAAAAAACTATCAACAGAGTAAAAAGACACCCCAAGGATAGGAAAAAAAATTGCAAATCACATGTCTAATAAAGGATCAGTATGCAGAATGCATAAAGAATATCTAAAACTCAACACCAAAAAACCAAATAACCCAATTCAAAATGGGCAAAGGAACTGAATAGACATTTCGCCAAAGGAGATATACAAAGGGCCAATAAGCTATAAAACATGCTCATCATCACAAACCATTAAGGAAACGCAAATCAAAACTACAAGGGGGCTTCCCTGATAGTCCAGTGGCTGAGACTCTGCTCTCCCACTGCAGGGGGCCCAGCTTCAATCCCTAGTCAAGGAACTAGATCCCACTTGCCACAACTAAGAGTTCACATGCTTCAATTAAGACCTGGCCCAGCCAAAAAGATAAATAAATACATATTTTTAAAAAACATTAGAAAAACTACAATGAGATACCTCCTCACACCCATTAGGATGGCTGCTATCAAAAAGGAAGGAAAGAAAGAAAGAAAGAAATTCTCAAATGTCGGTGAGGATATGGAGAAATTGAAACTCCTATGTATTTTTGGTGGAAATGTAGAATGGTGCAGCCACTGTGAAGCAAAATATGACCGTTCATCAAAAAATTAAAAACAGAACTACCATATGATCCACCAATCCCACTTCTGGGTGCATATCCAAAAGACTGAAAGCAGGGCCTCAAAGAGATATTGTACACACATGTTCAAAGCAGTATTACTCACAATAGCTAAAAGGTGCAAGCAACTCAAGTGTCCTTCAGTAGATGAACGTATGAGCAAAATGTGGTATATACATATAACGGAATATTCCCCAGCCTGAAAGAGGAAGGGAATTCTGACACATGCTATAATATGCATAAACTGAAGATGATATGCTTAGTGAAAAAGTCCAATCACAAAAGAAAAATACTGTAGGATTCCATGTGCATGAGACACACAGAAGAGTCACATGCACAGAGACAGAAAGTAGAAGCATGCATGTCAGGGGCTGGTTCACGCTCTTACTTCACTTTAATTTCATATCATTAATTTTCACACCTCTCCAGCTTTGACTTATATATCAACATTCATGATTAAAATTGTGTGATGCTTGCATGGCCCCTGGACAGAGAGAACTGTGACATGTTTCACCACATAAATAGCTGTTCTTGTGAATTTGCACACGTCCTGCTGGTATGCTCATCACCTGGGTTTACCAGAGGAGAGCTGGTCTATGGGTGATAAGGGACCGGGGTTTCCCTGACTACAGGACCCTGTCCTTCTGTTTTACTTTCCTTTCTCCCTTCCCCAGGCTGGGGCTGGGCCTTTGAAGGCTCTTTATGGTGGGGGCAATAGGACAAAGAGTGATGTCAATTTGAAAGCAGACTGTAGCAGTCTTTGTGAAAACACATCAGTTCTAATTCCAATTTTTAAAAATTGAGGAGTTAGAATCAAGAAGTAGAATACTTCCTGCTAGCTAGCCTGTGGGCTCCCTGTGGAGGATCCCTATCTGATTCATTGCTGGATCCCAGAGTCCAACATGGGGTCTGACCCAGAGCAACCCAGTTCAGTCAGAATCCACTGAACAAATACTAACGATCTCGTCCAATACTAAATTCTGTGAGGGACTTCCCTGCTGGTTCAGTGGTTAAGACTCCATGCTTCCACTGTGCGGGACGTGGGTTCAATTCCTGGTCAGGGAACTAGGATCCTGCATGTAGAGCAGCTCAGTTAAATATATAAAAGAAACAAGATTAATTAAAAATAAATAAATTCTATGATTGTACTAAGAAGGAGAGAAGTAAGGAAAAGATGAGATTTTTCAGGATCCTTGACTTTGTATTGGGACTCCCATGAATGAAAAGTTCTGGGTAGATCCTTCAACTTCAGGCTTGGCTTGATCCAGGTATGTACATAGTGTCAGGCACCAGATTGGATTCTCTCCATCTCTTGCCTTTTCTTTTCTCTGAGTTGCCTTCTGATACTTGTCAGGAGAGGGCAAAGATAGCCCACAGCACCTCCAAGTGATATTCCAACAGCCGAGCAATCTTAACAGAAACAAACCTGTCTCCCTCTAGTTCCAAAAAGGGGAAGCTGTGCCAAGAAGCAGAAAATAACTGAGGTCCTGTATTCAATACCCTGTGATAAATCATAATGGAAAAGAATATGAAAAAGAATGTATATACATGTATAACTGAGTCACTTTGCCGTACAGCAGAAATTAACACAACATTGTAAATCAACTAAGGTGGTGGTGGCGGCAGCGGTGGTTTAGTCACTAATTCGAGTCCAACTCTTGTGACCCCACAGACTGTAGCCCACCAGGCTCCTCTGACCATGGGATTTTCCACGCAAGAATACTGGAGTGGACTGCCAGTTCCTTCTCCAAGGAAAGCAACTATACTCCTATTCAAAAAAAAAAAAAATGGCAATAACTGAGGCTCAATCTGCAGGTTAAAGAAAGCAGAAACGCAAGTCAATTTCCCTGTGAAGCTGGACTTGAAGATAATTAAGAAAACCTACAAACCAATGTGTCTTGCATTTCCCAGCTTTTCTAGCAGAGATGACTTGGAATCCAGAAGAGTTTAGGGGCAGTAACATCTGCCTGCAGGACTGGCTCCCTAGGAGAACCGCTGTTACCCCGGAGCCCCACGGCAGGTGGGGACAAAGAACTTCTGTTCCGGCCACACAGACTGTCAGTTCTTCTTCAGAACTTACAACCCATCACGGATGAAAACTGCATACACAGCCCGCCCCCCAGGGGTGGTGGTGTCCACTCCCACCCTGGCACAGAACAACCGTCCCAGGGCAGCCAAGCAGCCTCCCTTGACCCTGGAGCACTCGGCCCAGGGGCTCCAGAGATAGCCCATGGCTAGGGCTCGGCCAATGAGAGTCTCTCATGCCTCCAGGGGTCAAGGTGATTGGCTCAGGGAAGGACACTTGATCCAAGCTAGGCCAACCAATCAGAGGCTTCCAGAGCACTCGGAAGCAGGCAGGATCTTAACTGGAGCTGGCTGCTCAGAGGACCCCTGGGAGAAGGCTGGTCACCAGCAGCCTGTTTCTGACCAAGAGGAGCAGGGTCAGAAACAGGGTGCTGGCGGCACCATGAGGCCAGAGAGC